GTCCTTCTCTGGCCTACACCTGTACATTAGCAAGATATCGACAGTGAACTACAGTCTCCCACTGGCTAAATTCCACAAGAGACTGACCTATAGCCCAGAGGCCTGTTGTTCATTTAGAGAAAAACTCATGACCACCATGCCCTTGGGTGTTATACCAAGAAGTGCTGGCTAAGCAGAAGATTAGCACAAAGTGAGATGGCAAGGGTGAAGGAGTCCCAAGGGGCAGTGTGCAGGGTAGTCACAGCATGGATCCTGGGGCCAGCAGACCTGGGTTCAAACTCTGGCTCCCTGTTTCCTGTCTGAATGACTGAACCGTAGGGCTCTGGGTTCCTTCCCTGAGAAATGGATATGATGACAAAAACCTATCTCACTGAGCTTCTACGAACATTGAATAAAATCAGGCGTGTAAAACAGTTGATACAGTGCACTGTACACAGGTACTTGATAAATGTTGGTAAAGATTATAATTATTATTATTATTTCATCTGGGCCAGAAGTCTGATGAACCACAGGGCTTCTCTGGCTGCTCATTCCTTAGTTTCTGGCTCTCCCCCTTTCTCCTAGACAGGGAGAGATGGGGGCCGGCTTTGCTTCTCTGACCCCCCACTTTCCTATCTTGGTCTCTGTGCTTAGAGGGTATGTCCTTTGGTGGTATCAGTAACCCCGAGGACACTAAGGCCAGGGAGCTATTCCTACAGGCCGGGGCTGGGGTAGCTGGCCTGGGGTAGGTAGGGGCCCAGCCCTGGGGCTGGCTGGAGAGGGGCTCTCAGCCAAGGGCTCACCGCTGTCATCCAGGGCCTCCAGGCGCACAGTCTGCTGGGCTGCGGGGCTGTCCACTACTCGCTCCAAGATGCCTTGGACCAGGGCCAGCTGGTTGCTTGGGAAAACCCCGAGATGCTCTCCGGGCAGGTAGCTCAGGTCTGTGCTGTCCTCACAGGAGAGCTCCACCAGGAGGGTGGTGCGGCTGCAGAAGGAAGGACCTGGTGACTGCCAGGATTTCCTCCCGGCCACCTGGAAGGCGGGCCAGTTTCCCCAGGAAATGTGCCCTCCTGTCATTTTCCTGCCTGGTTCCTTGAGCCTGAGTTGGGGACCAGGCATAGCTTTGGGCGGGAAGACTCAGCATCCCACAGTTTTCCCTTGGGAGAAGGCCACCCCGCCCTGCCTGGGCAGCCCGCCAAGCCCCCCTGGGTCTAGCTGGAGGCTCTGCTGAAAGAGAGCCTCCTGCGTGGAGATCTCTGGGTACTGGAAGAAATGCTTCCCTGTCCCCAGCGCAAAATCCTGTCCTTACTAGAAAAAAAGTCCAGTTTCCCTAATGAACTTGGAAGAGGACAGTACAGAGAAACAAAACCCACAAATAATCCCCAACGCTCAGCTTCCTGGCTAGGACATTTCCTCCCCGCCAAAACTTCATGGCAGCTCTTAAGACCCCAATGACTTGTATCCCTGGGCCTCTCCTTTCAATGAAAGAGTCTAGTGAGGAAGGAGAGAAAGCAAAGCAGGGGCTTTGTTCCCAAGCTGGACAACTGGCCGGTCAATTGAAACTGGCTGCAAAGACACACAGGTGGCCACAGGTTGGTAGACCAGTTGATCCTATTGGTGGTTATTTATTTATTTATTTTTTTGGTGTGTATGTGTGGGTACTGGGGATTGAACTTAAGGGTACTTAACCACTGAGCCACATCCTGACCCTTTTATGTTTTATTTTGAGACAGGGTCTTGCTAAGTTGCTGAGGCTGGCTTTGAACTTGCAATCCTCCTGCCTCAGACTTCAGAGCTGCTGAGATTACAGACATGCACCACCATGGCCCAGCTATGGTGGCATCACTTCTAGTGACAGCGGATGCTTCTCTCCTTTCCCTTCAAGGACTGACTTGCTCTGGTCTTCCATTTATCAAAACAGAATCTTCTTGGAACATCATCCAAGAGCCCTGCACAATACCTCACCTGGATTTGGGACTTTGTAGATTCTGCTGAGACTTGAGCCTCATGGTGAACACCTTCTTGGCGTGCATTTGGCTGAGGGCTGTGGAGACACAGATAGGAAAAGTGGGCTCTTGAGCAATGGCCAGGGAAGTCCCATGTCTGAGTCAATTATTCTTGCCCACTGCCTGTTTGGACATGAACAGTCCCTGAATTGAAGACATATACCCAATGCAGTGATACTCAGAGGTGGGGCTTTGGGGAAAGGATTGGATCTTGAGGGCTCTGGCCAGTTGATAAATAATTTGAAGTCATTGCTGGGAATTGTAGGAGGTGGGGACTGGTTGAAGGAAATAGATCACTAGGGGCATGCCCTTGGGGACTACATCTTGTCCCTGACCCCTTCCTCTTTCTCTCTGCTTTCTGGCTGCCATGAGCTGAGCAGCTTTCCTTCGCCATGGAGTCACAACTGTGGACCGACACCTCTGAAACCACGAGCCAAAATAAATCCTTCCTCCTCTAAGTTGTTTTTATCACGTATGTGTTTGTCAGCTTTTGGTTGCTGTGACCAAAATATTTGAAAAGAACCATGAGGTTGGGCTCCTGGTTTCAGGTCTCAGTCCATGGCCAGCCGACTCCACTGCTCTGGGCCTGAGAGGAAGCAGAACATCATGGCGGGATGATGGAATGGAGGAAAGCTATTAAGTTCAGGGCCGCCAAGAAACAGAGGGAAAGAGGAAGGAAGGGGTCAGGGACATATATAGTCCCCAAGGCCACACCTCTGGGGACCTACTTCCTCCAATCACACCTCACTTGCCTATAGTTACCACCCAGTAGTTCATTCAAATTATTAATCCATCAAGTGGATTAATCCACAGATGGGATTACAGCCCCCACAATCTAGTTTTTTCACCTCTGAACACTGCCTAACAAATGAATGGGCGAGGGTAACCTTCCAGATCCAAACTGTAACTGACAAAAAGCTGACTAATAGACCGTGGTAGCTATTGGGATTTTTTTTTCCTTCTGTTTTCCCCCCCGTTTCTGAATATAAAGACCCCTCATCTGACAGATGGTGGATGTGCTGCTGCTAACTATTGGGAAATTTAATTTAGAACCCAAAATGCATGATGTCCCAGGGCAACTCCCTGGCTTGGGATCCACAGGAGGGCAGAGCTGAGGCTGGGGATGTTCTGGGGATGTTCAGAAGCCTGCAGGATCTCTGTTCTCAGGGAGCAGGCACAGCACCTAGAGGGAGCAGAGCCTGACCACAGCCTGGAGCCGTCTCACACTGTCACCGTTGGTAAAGCTGGGCTCAGCTCCTAACCTGGCCACGCTACCACTTGCTTCACCTTCTTGAACTTCAATTATTCTGTCCCTTTCTCCAGGTTGAGTGTCAGGATCTCTTAAACCACCGTCCATGGTATCAGCAACAAAACCCCAGCACAGTCAGCTCACCCCTGAAGCGGGCCCACCCTCCCTCCCAGAGCGTCTTCTTCAACAGCTCTCTTTGGAGCCTAGGGTCTGGTTGGGTACTAGGCTTTTTGATTCATTGAGGCAGATGCCTGGCAACCCCAGCTGCTGTCTCCATTCAGAGGGACCTGGTTGTGGGTTCAAGGCCCAGACACCCAACCAGGGCAGGAGGCTAAACAGGAGGCCTCATGTGGTGCAGAGTGGCAGGTACCTTTGTTGAGGTCGAAGGGCTGTGAGTCCTGCACAAGCCTGTGGTGGTGAGGCTCCCAGGTCATGCTGCCCGTGTAGAGCTTGGGGATCTGAATGTGGTGTTTGCCTCGAATGTCAAACGTGTCGCAGGCAGCCTGGAAGGCAGTGCAGACTGGTGTCACTCATCATCCTCCTCATCACCGGTGGGATTATCAGATTGTAGGCCCTCACCATGGACCCAGCACCAAGCTGAGTGCTTCATAGAATTTCTAAGCACATGAATCTATAGGGTCACTATAGGGACTCAAAGAAGTGCCCGGGCTTTGCACACTGTAGTTACCACTAATATTAGAAATATTAATACTGACATTGTCTTGCCAACATGGTGAGGGAGGTTTGAATACTTTTCTTTCCTTATATGAATCACATGGAGGAAGCCTGGGCTTTGAAACCAAGTGCCCCCAGCTCAAGCCACGGCTCCTGAGCACCTTTGCTGAGCAAAACTCTTCCCCTCAGTGATAAGCCCCCTACACCCACAGGCAGCCCCCATAATAAAGGTCTACGGAGATACTGAGCCAGATCCGAAGAGCTCAACCATGTGGCCTCTGTCCCCAGCTCTCTGTGGCTAGGAGTCCCAAACAAGATGTGGTTGTTAAGAGGTGACCTAAAAGGCCAGGGTTGTGGCTCAGTGGTAAAGTGCATGCCTAGCACGTGTGAGGTACGTGGTTCAATCCTCAATACCATATTTTAAAAAAAAAATAAATAAAATAAAGGTATTGTGTCCATCTAAAACTAAAAAATGGTTTAATAAATAAGAACTCTTCTGGGAGGAGTGAGGATCACAGCCTTGACCTGAGTCCCCTGGCCCACACCTGGGACCTACCCACAGGGTGGGGCAGAAGTCACACCACCCAGGATGGCTGGTACACATGGCCTGGGTGGGAAGACACCCCATCATGGGGCAGCTCTGGCTGGGTACTGACCTTGAAGGTGTGCACGGCCCAGCTACGGAATGCATCCTCCTGCCCGCTGAGCTCGTCACCTTCCCCCATTGGGGTGAGCTGAGAGGCTCCCAGGTGGGACAACTTTTGGTCGATGTCATGAGCAAAAGCACAGAACTGTGGGTACATGCTGGAGCCAAGACCGAACACGGCATACCTGCCCCAGGAGGACACACACAGAGACTCAGGTCACATGCAAGCAGCACCCCTCGCCAATGTCCTGCAGACCCAGCCTCGCACTCTCCCATGCCAGCTGGGCCATGCCCGCTTTGGTCCTCTTTGAACTCTGGCCCTCACCACCAACTCCCATGACCAATGCATGCTTAGCTAGCAGACCCGGGAGAGGAAGTGGTTTCCCCAGCTGGATCTGCAACACACTGGAAGGATAAACTTCAGATTAGGGCTGTCCCTGTGCTGGACAATTCCAGGAAGACCCACTTATGCACATCCAGTTTCATCCCCAGATCCCAGACTCTGGGCCCAGAGGTTGGGCTCAGCCAAAAAAGGAGTGGGGAAGAGCCTGACCTGAAGGTGTTGGTGAGCTCCTTCAGCATGAAGAGGGATTTCTTCAGAGTCTAGAAAGGGAGACAACCACAGAGTTCGCAGGCCAGGATTCACACAAGCACAACTTTTTCTTTTTCTCCTGGTGGCCCATTTAAAAACTGGCCATATCTAGCTGGGCTGGGCAAACCTGTAATCCCAGCAACTCCAGAGGCTGAGGCTGGAGGAGCACAAGTTCAAAACCAGCCTCAGCAACTCAGCAAGGCCCTAATCAACTTATGGAGACCGTGTCTCAAAATAAAACATAAAAGGGATGGTGTTGTGTCTCAGCGGTAGAGCGCTCACCTAGCACACGTGAGGCACTGGGATAGATCCTCAGCACCACATATAAATAAATAAATAAAATTGTTAGGAACCCCAAACAATTTTAGGTGCTGTGTGATCCAGCATAAACAGTGTCAAATCATGGAAATTATTCCCTTTTGTGTATTTCATTTTTTAGTTATTCTCTTCTCCATTTATTTTTCATCCTTCTGTGTACCAGGAGTCTCTAGTTGGGGCCATAGAGCTGTAACCTCTTGAATACTTGTCTATTGCACTTAAAAAAAAAAGAGAGAGAGAGAGACAGCAGACTGGGTTGGTCAATAGCATTAACTAAAAATCAATAATTTTGGATTTCACTGAATTTACTTTTTGCTGGATTTCCCTTTGTGAGAGTGATACAAGTTTCCTTTAATCATGAGTTTTTCAGTTAGAAAATGTGTAGGTCAATTCACAGAGTAGTAGCAGTAGTAGTAGGTCAATTTATTAAGTGTGTCAGAGGAAAGGTGGCCCGTGAAGGACCCTGGGTGACTTGGGATTTCACTCCCAACCACCCTCTTTTTTGGGGTGGTTTCCAGGGATTGAATTCAGGGGCACTAGCCCACTAAGCCACATCCCCAGCCCTACTTTGAATTTTAATTAGAGACAGAGTCTCACTGAGTTGCTTAACGCCTCGCTTTTGCTAAGGCTGGCTTTAAACTCATGATCCTCCTGCCTCAGCCTCCCAAGGCGCTGGGATTGTAGGCATGCACCACCATGCTCAGCCCAACCACCCTCTTTGTGGTATGCCAATCCCTTTGGACCTTTCTTTGGTTCTCCTGGGCTCCACTCAGCCCTTGGTGATCAGGACCTTGGGCCACCCACCTGTCCATTGCCAGGGGCATCTCCATTCCCAAATGTGCTGGTCACTACCAGCAGTAGCCGCTCCTGCTCCATGTCGCTCAGGCTGTACTCGTCCATGCAGAGGACCTGCGCGGCACCCAAGAGGACATTAGCCTTCAGCTCCCAGGCTGGGCCCTCCACCCTTTCCCCAGACCCCTATCCAACTGATCTGGTACCTTGGGGTTGAAGGCACAGCTGAACAAGGTCCCCAAGTCCTGGGCCAGCGCTTCTGATTTTCCTGTCTCAGTTGCAAAGAGGATCGTGACTCTGACTCGGGATGACATGGTCTTGCGAATCAGCATAGAGGCAAAGAGCACAGCTCTGTGGGGGCAGACAGACAGATGCTGTGTACTGAGTCCTCTTCCAGAAGGAAGTGAGGGTTAGGATGGGAAGGGGACAGAGTTCCAAGTGGACAGGTGGAGGGAGAAGCAACCTTCATTTCTCACCAGGCGTCCACCCTGACTAGTGGCCCTTATCTCCCCTCACCATCTACTCGGCCCCTTTGGGGAAGGGAGGAGACAAAAGCTGACACACAAGCATCCAGTGACCCTCAGAATTACTGCCCAGATCTCTGGGAGCCAAACTGCACAAAGCACACTCTGTCTCTGTGTGCCCTGCTCTTCAAGGCCTGGGGGCAAAAGCTGACTAGAAGGAAGGGACAATGCAGAGGCTGAGGACGATAACCACTCCCACTCACTTCCCCAAGACTTTGAACTGGATCTCTCTTCTCTTGGGTCTCTTCTTCTCATCCTGCCAGACGTGGGTCTTCCAGGGCTCCACCTGCAAGAGAAGGGAGATGTGAGTGTAGGCCAGGGTCCTGCTGGGTTCATAACTTATAGTCTGAACCAGGATGCTTTCGAGAGGACGAGGAGGAGCTTGATGGGCCTCAGTAGTCCTGGGCAGACCAGGGTACACAGCTGCCTGACTTTGAAAGTGAGGCAGTTTCTCTCAAAATTGAATATTTGTGTGTGGTGCTGGGGATTGAACCCAGGGCCTTGTGCATGAAAAGCAGGCACTCTACCAACTGAGCTATATCCCCAGCACT